GGGGCTTCCCTGGTGGTGTAGCAGTTAAGAATCTGCCTGCTAATGCAGGGGACATGGGTTTGAGCCCTGGTCCTGGAAAACCCCACGTGCTGCAGAGCAACTAAGCCCGTGCGCCACAACTACTGAGCCTGCGCTCTACAGCCCCCAAGCCACAACTACTGAGTCCCATGTGCCACAACTACTGAAGCCCGTGCACCTAGAGCCTGTGCTCTGCAACAAGAGAAGCCACTGCAATGAGAAGCCCACGCACTGCAACGAAGAGTAGCCCCCGTACACAGCAATGAAGGCCCAACACAGCCAAAAATAAATAATAAATAATTAAATACATAAATTCTTTTAAAAATAAATAAATAAAAATAAAATAAAATTCTGAAGGTGTCTTTTACCCTAAACGATTCTGGGGGTTCCCCAGAAGGTCACTGGATCACTACAAAGATTTTTTTCTTTTCCTTTAGAGAAAGAGAGATGGTAACAAACAAACAAAAAAGGTTCATTTGGTGTGCACCATATTCTTAACTATCTCACCACTATTTTAAGAGCTATATGGGAAGAGCTGTTCAATCAAAAGGGAATTCAGCCATCCCTAGGTTAATATGTACTGGCAAAATGGTAATGGTAATATAAGTGTTTCAGAGATTGTACACGCTACAGATTGGAAGGTATTGGAGATTTGTCAGTGCCCTCATTGACCACAAAATGTTCTTCCTCTTTGGGAAACATACATCAAATCCTCATAAAATAGTTCTGTATTACGTTCAATAGATAACATTATTCCCCATTATGATATTGGTGGTTATTATAATAAATCAACTGTAGCCATTCAACCTTATCAATCTGTAAGTTTTCTGTTTCCTTCTGCTCTTGCCTGAAGACCCTGTTTGTAGCTATGTGGTTTAGAAAAATGTCTTCAACAAAGAAGGGTAGTCTGAAAGCCTCAGGAAAGGCATGGTACCAAGTATTCTTAAATACTATTATTTCAAGGGACACACTCAGGAGTATGGGCTTCTGAGCAGATGTTGCTTAGATAACTGTCAGTTCCATCATTAGACTGAGTCAGGATTTCCAGGACTATTCTAGTCTAGACACAGAGAACTTCATGAGACTTGAATGCTGACCCAACATCCAGCAGAACAAGCATCAATTAAGTGGGACTGCATAAAGTGATGAGGGAAATGACCTGGAAGTTCTTGGTTTGGCGTATTATTGGTATGGTTTTAATGTTCTGTGCCCTTGGCTACACTGGGTTCCAGTATTTTGTGGCCACAGAACTCACTGGGTACTGCTGCTCCTTATGGAATCTCTTGCATATTGGGCAGTGTCTTCTGGACCCATCAGTTCCAGGTCCCCTCAGAGCACTTTCCATCAAGACCTCTCTCTGCTCCATCCTGATGATTTTCATGTGATGCTGGTGGGCAGGGTAAAGTGAAAGGGTGCTGCTTCCTGGGAGCTAAATTTTGTTTTTCCCATACCTTCCCTCTGACATCACCCTCTTTAATTTTAATTAACATTAACTGAGACACTCCTATATGCCAGGCAGTTTTCTTGGTACCAGTAGAGTAATGAATGGGTCCTGTCCTCTCAATGGGAACCTTTAGCTTTGAGCTGTTTCTCCATGATTGACATGCTTCCCCTGGTATGCTAGATTGTTAGAAAAATAGCAATTTCCATCCCTCCCTATACACATTCTCTCCACAATATGGCTTTGTAGTTCCTCCCATCAAAAGGTGGAGTCTATTTCCCAACTCTCTGAATCTGGGCTGCCTTGTGATCTACTTTGGCCAATAGGATGCAGCAGAAGTGATGCTTCAGTTCCAAACCTAAGGCTCCAGAGTCCCTGCAACTCTTCAGATTACTCTCTTGGAACCCTGCCCAAACACTATGCAAACAAGCCCAGGCTAGCCTAACATGGTCCATTACCCCAGCCCATTACCCCAGCCCATAGCCAGCCAAATGTCAGACACAGCAGAGAGGCTGTCCTAGACCAGCCAGCTCCCAGCCAACCCACCACAAATGCATGAACCAGTCCAGCTAAGATGAGACACGCCTAGCCAGACTAAAAAACCACCCAGCTGATCTACAGACCTGTGAGGTATAATAAATGCTTGTTGTTTTAAGCCACTGAGCATTGGGGTGGTTTGTTACATAGCAATAGGTAGCCAATACACCTGGGATCTTATCTACTTTTCCCAACAATTCTGGGATCTTCAAAGAAATGAAAGAATTACCTTTCCTTATTACCCTAAGTTTACCTGACTTTTAAGTGACAGAAAAAGAATTGAACTCAAATCTATATGAAAGGAAAATGCTCTTTTCACAATAACATAGGACTTTCCAAGACCTCACCTAGCTTCTCCATTCTGCCATTTTAAGGTTGTTAAAAATCAGGTGACATGAAATACATCAGATTTCACAAAAGAGTATATACTGTGTGATTTCATTCATAAGAAATTCTAGAGTAGGCAAAACCAATTAGCTGTGAAAGAAAGCAAATCATTAGCTGCCTGGGGACAAATAAGTGGGTTAGACTGCAAAGGGGTATAAGGGAACTTTGGTGGGTGATGGAAAATGTTCTATCTTGATTGGAGTGGTAGTTACCTAGGTATTCATATTTGTCAAGAATCATCTCTACTCTTTAAGTGGGTGCATTTTATTGGGTCAGAATTACACCTCAATAAAGCTGATTTTTAAGGTTAAAAAGAAACAGAAGTTGGTGAGGATGTAGAGAAAAAAAGAAACCCTTAGGCACTGTTGGTGGGAATGTAAACTGGTGCAGCCAGTATGGAAAGCAATATGGAAGTTCCTCAAAAAATTAAAAATAGAAGTACCATATGATCCAGCAATTCCACTTCTCGGTTTATATCCAAAGGAAATGAAAACAGGATATCAAAGAGATATCTGCACTCCCATGTTCATTGGAGCATTATTCACAATAGTCAAGATATGGAAACAACCTAAGTGTCTATCAGTGGATGAATGGATAAAGAATAATATAATATTCTACCATATATCCATTATATATATGTATATATAAAATGATGGAATATTACTCAGCCATGATAAAGAAGGAAATCCTGCCATTTGCAACAGTATGGTTGGAACTTGAGGGCATTTATACCAAGTAATATAAGCCAGACAGAGAAAGACAATACCGTATGGTATCACTTACATGTAGACTCTTTTAAAAAAAAAAAAGTTGCATTCACAGATAGAAAGTAGAAGGGTAGTTGCCAAGGGCCGGGAGTTGGGGGGAACAGGAAAGGGTTGGTAAAAGGGTAGAAACTTTCAGCTATAAGATGAATAAGTTCTGAGAACCTAATGTAAAACACAGTGACCATGTGACCAACAAGGGATTAATTTCTGAAATTTACAAACAGCTCATGCAGGTCAATATCAAAAAAAACAACCCAATCAAAAAAATGGGCAGAAGACCTAAACAGACATTTCTCTAAAGAAGACATACAGATGGCCAAGAGGCACATGAAAAGATATTCAATATCACTAATAATTAGAGAAATGCAAATCAAAACTACAGTGAAATACCACCTCACACCAGTCAGAATGGCCATCGTCAGAAAGTCTATAAACAATAAGTGCTGGAGAGGGTGTGGAGAAAAGGGAACCCTCCTACACTGTTGGTGGGAATGTAAATTGGTACAGCCACTATGGAGAACAGTATGGAGGTTCCTTAAAAAACTAAAAATAGGGAATTCCCTGGTGGTCCAGTGGTTAGGACTCCACACTGTCACTGCCAAGGGCCCAGGTTCAATCCCTGGTCGGGAAACTAAGATCCCACAAGCTGCGTGGCACGGCAAAAAAAAAGAGAGAGAGAAAGAAACTAAAAATAGAGCTACGATAAGGTCCAGCAATCCCACACCTGGGCATATATCTGGAGAAGAACATTGTTCAAAAGGATACATGCACCCCAATGTTCATTGCAGCGCTGTTTACAATAGCCAAGACATGGAAGCAACCTAAATGTCCATCGACAGATGAATGGATAAAGAAGAAGTAGTACATATATACAATGGGTATTACTTAGCCATTAAAAATAATGAAATAATGCCATTTACAGCAATATGGATGGGTCTAGAGATTATCATACTAAGTGAAGTAAGTCAGACGAAGACAAATATCATATGATATTGCTTACGTACAGAATCTTTAAAAAATGATAGAAATGAACTTATTTACAAAACAGAAACAGACTCACAAACTTAGAGAACGAACTTATGGTACCAGGAGGGAAGGGTTGGGGGGAGGGATAGATTGGGAGTTTGGGCGTGTACACACTACTCTATTTAAAATAGATTAATAATAAAATAAAATAAATAACCAACAAGAACCTATTGTATAGCACAGGGAACTCTGCTCAGTACTCTGTAATAACTTAAATGGGAAAAGAATTTGAAAAAGAATAGATACCTGTATATGTATAACAGAATTACTTTGCTGTACACCTGAAACCAACACATTGTTAATCAACTATACTCCAATATAACATTTTTTTAAATAAAATAATTATAAAAACCACAGTGGCCATAGTTGATAGCACTGTATTGTATAATTGAAATTTGCTAAGAGAGTAGAACTTAAGTGCTCTCACCTAAAAAAATAGATAAATATCTGAGGTCATGGATATGTTCATTAACTAGATGGGGGAATCCTTTCACAACGCATACCTGTATCAAATCACGATGTACACTTTAAATATCTTACAATTTTGTACCTAAGTTATACCTCAATAAAGCAGAACTTTTTAAAAAAATACCTTAGGAACTCTAGATAATCTTTTTTTTTTTTTTTTTTTAATTTATTATTCTTATTTATTTATTTTTGGCTCAGTAGTTGTGGCATGTGGGCTTAGTCGCTCCACAGCATGTGGGATCTTCCTGGACCAGGGCTCAAACCCATGTCCCCTGTGTTGGCAGGCGGAGTCTTAACCACTGCGCCATCAGGGAAGCCCCAGGAACTCTAGATAATCTTTTAAAAGTTAAGGGGGAAAAAAAAAAAAAAACAACTCCAAACAATGGCAGTGCTCCAATCTCCCAGGGATTATTCCTCTCCCACAAGGAGAAGGTCCCCCTCCCCCAGCCCCGCCATTTCCTTGGCCAGGTGATCCGCTCCCCTAGCTGCCCTTGCTCAGCCCAGCCTCGCAGATCCAGTGGTAGGGTCTCTGGCACGCGTCGTCATTCCACTTGCCATCGGGGTGGAAGTGGGCACAGTCCTCGCCCCCACCCAGCCCGTGCCCTTGCCAGTCGTCCGGCTGGCCTGGCTTCCAGTTCCTGAGGGGAGAGGACAACAGGCAGCTAGGGAGGCACAGAATCCAGGTCAGGGAGAAGGGGCTGAGGGTCAGACCCTGGAGGAACCGAGCTGAACGAGGAAGAAGGGCACAGAAACCCGGGGCACTCACTTGAAGTTGGTCTCATAGTCCGTCCCATCTGCCCATTTCCAGACTCCATCCAGATCACTGAGGCCCATCCAGGTGTAGGAGGAGCCTATATGGGCCTGGACAAAATCCTGGGACAACAGAAGGGCAGTGGTGACTTCTCCCCACCCTGCCAACTCCTTGGACTATCAGTTCTGAACTTCACGTGTTCATGAAACCCGTCAAGGAGATTCGGGGTGTTAATCCCAACGCCCGGGGCCAATTAAACCTCTGAGGGTCTGGCTCAGATGGCAGTCGTTGTTAAAAGCTCCCCAGGTCGGGCTTCCCTGGTGGCGCAGTGGTTGAGAGTCCGCCTGCCAATGCAGGGTGCAGGGTACACGGGTTCGTGCCCCGGTCCGGGAAGATCCCACATGCCGCGGAGCGGCTGGGCCCGCGAGCCATGGCCGCTGCGCCTGCGCGTCCGGAGCCTGTGCTCCGCAACAGGAGAGGCCACAGCAGTGAGGCCCGCGTATCGCAAAAAAAAAAAAAAAAAAGCTCCCCAGGTGATGCCAATATGCAGCCAAGGCGGAGAACCATGCTCTTCAATGGGACGTGTCTTGGACCTGCGCTCTAGGGGCCTCACCTGTTCCTCTCTGGAGTTGATGACCACCAGGTAGGCATCCTCCTGCTGGCAGTACTTCTCAGCCTCGGGCCAGGGCTTCCCCGAGGAAGAGAACCAGTAGCAGCTGCCTTCATGCTCCAGCCAACTGGTAGGACAGCAGTTGTTTTGCGAGCCTAAGGGGCCGGGGCAGGGGAGGGTCTGAGATGCTGTCTGGGGGATGTGGGCAGACGCTGGGGCCGGCCCACCCCTTGCAGCCCTCACCATTGCTCTTGAGAGCAGCCATCTTGCAGGTCAGGGAGTTCAGGTTCTTGACCAGCTGTTGGACTCGCAAGAGCATTTCGGAATAACCTGGGACGCACACGGATGGGCAGTGGGGACAGTGCCCTGGGTGTGGCTTCTGCTCCTTGAGTCCCTGGAGACCAGAGGTCCACGCCCGGGGCCCCAGCCTAGGAACCCCCTTGCCCTCCCACACGCCTCATGCCCAGGTGGAGGGGAGCAGGGGCCTGACCTGCTTTGAGTTCCTGCAGCTGGTTCTCCAGGCTGCTCTCCAGAGAAAGCACCTTGTCATTCAAGCTACGGGCTGGAAGGGAGGGCACTCAGCACCACGTGACTGCTCCCATTTCTCCCCCTGCCCTGAGTGCCTGGCACTCACCCCTCCACACACTCTCCCGAAGGGTCTCTCACCTGCTTGCAGTTCCTGCTTGTGACTTTCCACCTCAGCTTTCAGAGATGTTATCATTTCTTGCAAACTTCCACCTGGAGAACACAGGGACTCAGGGCTCAGGAGTCAGTTCCTCCCCCTCTCCCACCGCACCCCACCCCAGTCCAGAGCCCCTTCCATACCAGGCTCACCCTGGGATTTCAGTGCCTGGACCTCAGCCATGGTGTTTGAAGTGAAGTTGCTGAAAGTTGTTCTCAGGGTTGCCAGGTCCCTCTGAAACTTGGAATCTGATCAGGCGGATGAGACAATCAGTGCTAAGCGTTATCAGGTCCTCTGTGCCAGCACTGGGCAGGGCACTTGACATGCATTGTGTCATTGGGTCCCTACAGCGTGACCCCACCCAAAGGGATGGGTACTATTGTTATACAATATTGCAGGTGAGGAAACTAAGGCTTAGAGAGGGGACGTAATTTGACCTCATTCCCCAACTGATGTGACAGGGCCAGCAGTCATCCTCATTTATCACTCTCGCCACCAGTGCCCCCACCACTGCACCCCATTATTTCTCTCTTCCCTGCCCACCCTGTGCCCCTCACTTTGGGATCCGATCACACAGATGCCGACCAGCAGGAGGAGGCTGAGGCCCAGGGAGAGCAGGAAGGAGCGGGTGCTGGAGAGGAGCCGCTGCAGGAAGGTCTCGAGGGCAGGCAGCCCTGCAAGAGGAGAGGGTGTCAGGACGAGGAGGGTCCAGGACGTGAGAGACGGGGAGGAGGATAGGGCCACGGGGACCTGCAGGGAGGAGGGTGCTGCAGCTGATGCTGGGGGGAGGCTGGACAAGGAGAGTTGTGGGCGGGGGGACGTCCAGGCCACTGACCCCTCATGGACCAGCACAAGTGCTCAGTCATACGGGCCCCTCACACCCCTGGGGACACATGTACACAAAGACACACAGACAGGGGATGATGGCGATGTATAAGGTCCTATCATCAGAGCTGGGGCACCAGGCAGGAGGACCCAGGGAGAGAGACGGCGACTACCTTAGCAGGCTCACACTCATCAGTGAAAACAAGTTAGAAAATGGGTTTACTAATATGGGGCACATTGCACTTGCCCATAAGGAACACACACTGCTGACCTCTGGATTAATAAGTAGAAGTACAAGTAGGGCACATATATAGGAGAGAAGAGATTTACTGTTGGCCATTAAGGTAAAGGCTCTACGAAGAAGTTATTCCTCAAGACTTTGGAAATAAGGGCTTCCCTGGTGGCGCAGTGGTTAAGTAATCCAGCTGCCAATGCATGGGACACGGGTTCGAGCCCTGCTCCGGGAAGATCCCACATGCTGCAGAGCAACTAAGCCTGTGAGCCACAACTACTGTGCCCACATGCCACAACTACTGAAGCCCACGTGCCTAGAGCCTGTGTTCTGCAACAAGAGAAGCCACCGCAACGAGAAGCCTGCGCACCACAACGAAGAGTAGCCCGTGCGCAGCAACGAAGACCCAATGCAGCCAAAAATAAATTAATTAATTTAAAATAAAGACTTTGGAAATAAAAGAAGGAAAAATAAAATTCTGGAAAATGTACACTAGGTGCTTTTAACATGCCCAGGCTGGGAGGTAACAATCATTATGGCTGCAATGGTTTTAAAAGACAATATTAGCAATTTCCTTCAGTGTAATTAATCTGGGTCTACGTTTTGTTATTCCTGGATGTGTCCATAATAATAATAGCTACAATAAATAGCCAGTAAATCTTTTAAGTGGCAAAATTAAAAAAAAAAGAGAGAGAGAAAGAAAATGGGTTTACTCTCATGCCCTTCCCCAGAGCACAGGAAGCCAGGACTGCTGTGGACCTTGAATCGTGTTTTTATTGGGGTCCCCAGAGGCTGGGGCCTCCCCTTCAGAGTGAGAGACCCCACCAGTACATATGGTAGAGGTGCAGACATGACACGACAGCAGAAATCCTTCTAAACATATTCAGAGGAGATTTTAGGAAAGACCATTTCCCCATTCATCTTACCATCTGTAAACCCCTGGCTTTTCCCTTCACTCTCCAAGTACTGGAGGTCTTCATACTTCACTGACATGTTTGGACCAACACGGCCTCTGAGGCTGTCAGAGCTGAAGTAGAGGCAGGGCCAGCGGCCAGGCTGGGGAAGGAGCTGGGATAAAGATGGAGGCTGGGACCAGGTAAGACCCACGTGCAGGGCTGGAGATAAGGGAAGAGATGAGGGTTGAGAAGAAGCCCAGGGTCAAGGCTAGCAACAGGGGATGGGCTTGGCTTTGCAGCTGAGGTCAGAAGTGGGGTCAGGATTGGGCTTTGAGCTAGGGTCAGGTTGAGTTTGGGGTTGACAGTGCAGGTAAAGTTGGAGCTAAATGTATTGCTAGGACTGGGTCTAACACTGGGAGCTGGAATCGAGGTTGCGTCTCCTGCTAGGACTGGGGTCAGTACTCATGTTGAAGCCATGGATGGAGCTGGACCTAAGCTTGGTGCTGAAGTTGGAAATAGGAGAGAGTTGAGGTTCAAGCTTGGGTGGGGGCTGGTGTTAAGATTCAAGCTGACTTGGGACTTCCCTGGCGGTCCAGTTGTTGGGACTCCCCGCTTCCACTGCAGGGGGCAGAGGTTCAATTCCTAGTTGGGGAACTAGGATCCCGTGTGCCACACTGCACGGCCAAAAAACCCACAAAGGTTCAAGCTGACTCTGGGGGTGAAGATGCCATTGGGGTTAAAGGAGGAACTGGGGTTGGTATGGGGTTCGGCTGGAGTGGGGGCTGAAGACAGGGCTGGAACTGGGCTAGAGAAGGGGTTGAGTGTGAGTCTCAGTTTGTGACTGCCACAATTCAATCTGCATCCAGTGAAGGGAAGAGAGTCTAAAATCTCTGCTCGGTCATTAAATCCCCAAGCTGCCCCCTTATATATCTTCCCATTCAGTCTCACAGTCCCCTCTCCCTGCTTTCTCTGACATCCTCCCTGCCCCCTTAGTCTCACCTGCATCCCCAACCTGGTTACCTGTGAAAAGTCCAGAGGCTATGATTCTTGAGTTCTTTGTGCAGCGGTGACCAGAGCTGGAAAAAACTAAATCCTGCAGAGTTGGGATGGAGGTGACTGAAGGAGGAGCCACCTAAGTGACTGGAGACCTGCTGGTCTTTGTGTCTGAAAGACCAGGAGTCTATAATCTGGGAATCTCCCGTTTCCCTGATTGGGGCAGTAAATAACAGGATGGAATTGAAATCAAAACGCAGGCAGACGTGGTGTGCACAGGGCAGCTGGATACGGGGCCAGCTCTGCTTTCCTCTTGCAGGGAGTGTCTACTCTCTTTCCGCTTCTTTTGAGTTCCCATGACTTCCTCAATTTTATCATTTGGGAGAGAAGCACTGGACCAGAAGGAAACAGAGGTGCAGTCTGCCCCACACCTCCTTTCACTTCCTGCATCTGAAGACCTCAGAATCCTTGGTGTCTCCATCACTGCAAACCCGGGTCCAGAGGAGCCCATTGCTCTGCTCTCGCTCAATCCTGACCTGGGGTCCCTGGCATCTGAGCTTCCTCTGGGGCCTCAGCCATCATGCTCCCCTAGCTCTGGCCAGCTCTCTTCACTTCGCTCGGAAGGAGGGAAGCGGGTGGTGGAGAGTAGGATTTCCTGGCCGGAATGGGAGGGGAGAAGCCAGGGGAAAGAACAGAATTTATTGAGCACGCAAATCTGATGAGGATTGTGCCAGACACTTGCATTAACCATTCAATTTCCACAAGAACCTTGAGAGGAATTTTGGATGATAGACTTAGGGTCAGAGCCATTGTGTGACTTGCCCAAGATCTCACCCCTGGTAAGCAAAAGAGCCAGATTTCCAGCCCAGTGCTGCCGGACACACTAGCCTGGGCTCTCTCCACATACACTGTCCTCACGAAAGGGATTCAATTTAATCCTGTCAACTCTGTAAATCCCTCTAAGGGGGCTGCTCTGAATTCACACACACAATCTTTTCACAGTTAAGAAAGATTCTTAGTGTCTTAAAAGGGGAGGAAGGAAAGCAAATACATTTCAGTTTCTATTTTCTAATTAAATGGGATTGTGTTCTGCTACTTGCTTTTTAAAATTCATTTAACAATGTATCAGGAACATTTTACCATATCAGTTCATAAACTGTCCTTTATTCATTTTTCATCTTCATCTCATTTCATAATCTGTGCCATAATTTATTGACTAAGCTTTTCCCTATTGATAAACATTTAGGTTGTTTCCAGTTTCGTTTTGTTTTCTTGCTTTGCTTGTATTTATTTGGTATTTGAATTAGTATTTGTTACAGGTTGGGTTATTGGAAGCCAATTTGGGGTGCAGTCTATTTATTAGGGATCCACATCTGTGAAAGGATGGGGAAAGAAGAGGAGGAGGCAGAGGAAGAAGTTAAACAGATGCAAAGACCCCACAAAGCTTTAGCCAACCCAACTGCACCGCCTGTCAGAGCTGCCCATCACTGGGCTGAACCAGGGCCTTTATTACCTGACGTTGCTCAGTCACCAGATGCTGCCACCGCAGCAGGGGTGAGACCTCAGGGGAGGTGGCTGTGTGCACAGGTTACACTCCCCACAACTGGGCAGCAAGTCCTTCCTGGGAGCGGGGTCTGGGTCTCTCATCTCTGTGTCGACCCCAGTACTGTATTAGTTTCACACCTTAATTGGGGATAATCAACATTTTTGCTTATTATTGAATTATTGATTATTATTGAATTAAAGATTATTGAATCTTTCTCACAAAGAACATGGTATGTTTCTCCATTCACTCATCCAAGCATTTACCCATCCATTCAACAAGTATTTACTGGGTGTTGATAAAAGAAATTTTCACATATTGAGGTATGGGGAAGTCATTCTGGCTTTTTCATGAGCTAACTTGAATTTTATGCTAACTAAAACAGCCTGTTTGTGGCCTATCAAATATACATTGTGGGCTTCCCTGGTGGCACAGTGGTTAAGAATCTGCCTGCCAATGCAGGGAACACGGGTTCAAGCCCTGGTCCGGGAAGATCCCACATGCTGCGGAGCAACTAAGCCTGTGCACCACAACTACTGAGCCTGCGCTGTAGAGCCCAAGAGCCACAACTACTGAAGCCCGTGTGCCTAGAGCCTGTGCTCCACAACAAGAGAAGCCCCCGCTCGCCACAACTAGAGAAAGCCTGCACACAGCAACGAAGACCCAATGCAGCCAAAATTAAAGTAAAAATAAATGGCCCTTAAACATACACACACACACACACACACACACACTGTACATCTGCTTTAATTAGTAAAGGAAAGCGTACACTGACCAGAAGTAAAGAATGTCCATGTTAAAATAAAGATTAAATGCCCCTCTTCTTGGGATGCCAATGCTGGTCCTCCTTTGATGATAAGACTCCCTTCCCAGGTGCCAAGGCCATACTGACTTGCTGTGTACCTTTTGGTCTGGCTTTTTTGAAACCTTGAAGAAACATATCCTTCAGAAGTAAACAAACAGGTAAAAAAGGCCCTGGTCACAGAGCTTATATTCTAGTGGGTGACAGATAAACAGAATAAATGAGCAAAATATAGGGACATCCCTGGTGGCACAGTGGTTAAGAATCCCGCCTGTCAGTGCAGGGGACATGGGTTCGATCCCAGGTCTGGGAAGATCCCACATGCCACAGAGCAACTAAGCCCGTGCACCACAACTACTGAGCCTGTGCTCTAGAGCCCGTGAGCCATGACTACTGAGCCTGCGTGCCACAACTACTGAGCCTGCGTGCCACAACTACTGAACCCACAAGCCTAGAGCCCGCACTCCGCAACAAGAGAAGCCACCACAATGAGAAGCCCTCACACTGCAATGAAGGGTAGCCCCCGCTTACTGCAACTAGAGAAAGCCTGCACACAGCAATGAAGACCCAAAGCAGCCAAAAATAAATAAATAAAAATTAATAATAATAAAAATATGTTGAGTAAAATATATATAATGTCACACGGTGATAAGTGCTGTGGAAGAAAATATAGCAAGGAAGTGGGTAAAATAAGGTCAATTTTTAACAGGCTGTCAAGACTAGGATGTCAAGAACAGCCTAGACTGGGAAGATGATTATCTGAGCAAAAGTCTGAAAGAGGTGAGGGAGAAGTAGATGAATCATAGCGGGAAAACCTGGAGCTCCAATTCTTCAGGGCCTGTAGGCCATTGTCACGGATTTGTTTTTACCCTTAAGAGGGGCAGGCTTTGGAGGAGGGGTCAGAGCAGAGGACTGAGTGAACTGATTTACATTTAAACTGTAACAATGTGACTACTGTGTTGTGAATTTCATGAACCGGGACCAGAGTGGCAACCCAGAGTCGGGGAGAGGGACAAATTCGGAGGTTGGGATGAACAAACACACAGTACTATATATAAAATGGATAACCAACAAGGACCTGCTGTATGGCACAGGGAACTCTACTCAACATTCTGTAATAACCCATATGGGTAAAGAATCTGAAAGAGAACGAATATATATATACGTATAACTGAATCACTTTGCTGTACACCTGAAACTAACACAACATTGTAAATCAACTATACTCCAAGAAAATTTTTTTAAATAATAATAAGAGCCATTGTAATAGCTGGGTGAGAGATGATGGTGGTTTGTGCTTGGTGGTGGTGAGAAATGTTTTGATTCTGAAATACTGTGAAGGTAGAATTGACAGGATTTTTGCTGATAAATTGTACGTGGATTTTACATACACACACAAAACAGTTCTCCTTCTAGTCCCAAAAATAAATGAAACTTTGAGCATTTCCCATAAATTGCTGACTCTCTAGGAAAAACAACTTTCTCCCTGCCTTTGTAATGCTGATGCCTTAAGATCTCTCATGACCTTTTGTGCACAGGCTAATCATGTGAGAGAAGTTCTGTTTTGCCATCAGGAGCAGACTGATGAAAACTTGTTAAAACTGGTTATTGTGCAGTATTTTCCTTTGAATACCTGGTGTGGTTTTCTTTGGTAAGCCTGTCCTCCCAAAGTCTGATTCCCTTACAACTTTTTTTTTTAGTTTCAGCTAAGCAGTTTAATTTATATCCCTGGTACTCATTCCTTGTGAATATATTTATTATCCATATTGTTATTCAATCTTAAAAATTGTGACACACAGGCTCATATTGTTTACATGATCAATCATGATATGTACATGTTAAACAGGTCTGAAACAGACATTTGTCTTTATCTTCCTAGGAACCCATGCACAAAAGAGCACAACAAATGAGAATTTAGTTAAATATACATTCAGCGATGATTCCAGAGAACGTTCTTTCTTTGATCTGAAGTGGGATTTAAATTTTTATAGTAAGAAAAGATTAAATATAAAAATTAATGATTAGTCATGCCCTTACAACTTCCTTGCAAGTAACCTTTTTTTTTTCCCTTTTGTCTCTGAGACTTCTTTCATGGTTGACAATCATAGCTTCCTTCTTCCACTACCTTTTCCATGATCCCTTACCCTCTCCCAGCACCTCAGCTGGTCAGGATTCTTTTACCGAGTGGGGTGACCCCAAACTTCATTTCTGCAGCATCCAAGTCCTTATGGTCCTGTCTATCTTGGGTCACCACAATGCACCACTGACCATTATATTATTGGACATGTGAGTGCTATCTAGCACCCCAGAGTCTCATGAATTCCAGGCTCTGTCTTCTTTTTCCCCATCGTGAAGCAACAGACCTATTTCCCTTCTTAATAAGAATCAGTCACCCCCAAAAGTACAATTTCCCATATCCCCTACCTAGTGGTATAATGAGGAGCCCAAATCAGCCAGGATTCAATCTCATCTTCAAACTGAAACAGAACCAAAGGTGTGTTCCCTGGTGGGTGGGTTCTTTCTTTGGGCACTAGAACTTCCAAAATCCAATGATCCCAAATTGTGCAGATGAAAAGGAAAAAGTCCTTACGTGGGTTATTAGGTGCCAGGTAAGAGACACTACCCTTCTCTGTCTCTTAGTCGTGTACATGGCTGTGGGGGAGAGGGCACCATACTGGTCACTGATTTAAGGTGTATCCTCACCTGTAGCTCAGGCATGATAGGTCAGGGAAAGGTAGTAAAATAAGAAATTTATCCAATTTCCAGCCCCCGAGCCCAGAAATAGAAATTTGATGTGTCTTTTCAGATATATTTATATACCTATAAGAATACACGCACATAAGTAGAGAATTTTTTTTTTT